AAATTGTAATTTCTCGCTGGGTAATCTGTTTTCATCTCTCTGTAAAACCCACTCTTAGTCGCTGTCCTCATAGATAATTATTTCTTGTTATTAAGACTGAAGGCTAAAGCTCTTTAAATTACATTGAATAACTTCTAAATTATTGAATGTAAATATTAAATATTACAGAATATAGACTTTCCGTTTAAGTCACATTCATGCATTTTACTCATCACCCTGTTAATGATGTCTGTCAGAAATGCATCCAACAGATTTCTACTGCACATTGCAATAACTGTTTATATGTGAGAGTACTGTAGAGTATAATGCAGTAGTACATGTGCTTAGTATTGTGCATGATGCAGGCCTGCGTGACATACCAAATCTACACTATACGTTCATTCACTTCAGCTTATTGCACTTTGTGCATACACACAACTTCAGTCACCAGTCATCGGATGAGTATGGGTGCAGTGTTAACGTATGCAGCAGTTTGGCGACAAGTTCACAGCCAGTGAACATCCAGCAGCATCGGAAGTGTCATCAAGGTCAGCATCAGGCCACTGCAGCTTTGAAATAGGACACTCCACGCAGAGCATGGGAGGAGGAGCTCTGCAATAAGAACAATTATACAGGTTTGTTTTGCAGTCACTCAAATGTTTTATTTTTTCCAAAACAATGACTGCGAGCAGCTTACTTTTGAAGACCACTGAGGTTTTGGTTGCTGTGGCGCCCGTGTCTGCAAGTTTGATGCTGCAGGTGAAGTTGGACTTGCCGTTGGGCAGGTTTTTAAACAGCAGGCGACAGATGTTGCCAGGGAAGATGCGGGCCCTGGCTTTCTTCTTGAAGGGGGCATGCTGCTCCTCGTCCGGGTCCGTGGTGTCAAAGAGTCGCTCCCCGTTTGTGTACTTGCAATAAGGTGTTGGTGACTCAGCGGGAACCGCATATTTGCAATCCATCCTGAGGTGGTGCTCATCTATTGAGCAGTAGTTCAACTGAATCACCTTCTGGGCTGACGCAAAGCCTTTGTGGAGTTTAAAACACAGAGAAAAACTCACTCAGGTTAGAAAATGAATGTATTATGTCCTCTCTTAACATTATGAGAAACAATGATCTTACCAAAAAGTAAAATTGTGGAAAGGAACAACATTCTCCCAATTGCCCTGCAAAAAAAAGGAAGGCACAAGAAAATAAAAATATTCACCACAAAATTATAAACCGAAACAAACAGCAAGCTATTTATTTGGCTGTCACGTCTTTACATTATTGAGGTTTGAATCAAATACAGCTGACTGTGCTTAAAGAGAAGGGTCAGATTTCACACTTAACTGCGGAGGTTACTGTAGAAAAGTCACTGTACCATAATACTGAGTACAAGACAGCCTCACTGTTTTACGCTGCAAAGAGATGAACTGCAAACTTCTCTGGTGATTTGCCAGCACTGACACATTTCTGAGCTTAACCCCCCTCGAGAACAATGCTCTGATTCCTTGCCTACTTGTATTAAATATGTTAAGAAAATACACATAAACCAGTTCATCTCTTTCTGATTGCTTGATGCAGAGCGTCTCCCGCCTTCATACAAATATTTGCTTTAGTGCTGCTTCCAGTGTTAGAGCTAATATTTCATCCAGACTGCAATGCACAGTTCAATGTCTAATCAAAGCTCAGATCCAGCTAATAACAGTATATGAATCATTCTCACCTTGTCTGATGCAGTTTGAGCTTCCCTCAGTGCTCTGCAGTGTGATGCCAGGGGTAGATACAGTAGAGGTCGGCTTATAGAAGAAACAGAGGAGAGAGGGAGGGGAGTGGGACAGAGAGGGAGGGGAGTAGGCAGAGAGAATGGGGGGGGGAAATGCTGCTCCAGTGGACTTTGGGGACATTTCTCAGTATTGTATAATAATTTGTATTGATTTCTGCACTCTGTTTTACCACAGGACAGAGGATCGCATGTCAATACACTAACCGTGGCCTCATTTTGAAGGATTGAATTTGATCTGAATGAGAAAGAAAAAGGAAATGTTGTGACGAGGGTTTGATTATCTGAGACACCTCAGCAGCTGTTCTACATTTCCTCATTCAGTGTGGGAGTACTAAACGTGTCAGCACTTTCTCAGCTACTTTTGCCAGCATAAATTAAAATATATACATATCAAACACACATTTACAGATAATTCCTTTCACCTAATGTATTGGAAATCTGTACTACATTTACTCCTGCATACAATACAAAAACACACCATAAAAGAAAACAATAGAATATACATGGGTTTGAGTATTCTGCAATTGGCTTATCGTTAATAACTTCAATAATATGTGGTCTATACCAAAGTTGTAGCTGATCAGTACAGCCCATTTACTTTATATAAGAGGTGGACCTCACTGTGATGACACCCATCGGTTGGTGGACTGGTTTTAGCAGCCTAAAGTTTGGCATTTAAGGGTCGGCCATCTTGGTTATTGGGTATAATAATGTTGGTTTGTGGTGGTCGTGTTTAGATTTGTACAAACTCTCGCTGCCGAGTACCTACAGCAAATACAGGCTTACGTTTTTGCCGAGCACCGAACTAGATCAAAATATTACAGTTTACTCTCATGGCCTGAAAGAAGCCATTTCTTTACTTTTGGACTTCCTTTTTGCAACCAGTCTAGTCACACCCTTGCATGCTATTAGAGAAATGCAGGTTTAATGCACTTGCATAGTTTTCTGACCCGGACGTTGCTGGTTGGTACACCCATAATACATTTGAAACGGTGTTAACTTTGGGACAATGTACAGGTTTAACTGAAACATAGTGGCCCAGGTGAAGTTTGCAGCTTCAATAGCAGCTATCTGAGGCTTTACATAGGTGGGTGCATTTCTGTAGTGCCAAGTGGTGCAGTTTGGACATGTGACACATTAATAATTAGTTCTCTTTTAATAGAAAATAGAAAATCAGACATCACTCCCACTTTTGCAGCAGCATGGCACAGGCACTGCACCAGTCCCCATTAGCCTACTGATTCTAAAATGACCCAAAAACGTGAATGCTCAAAGCAGAAGACATTACATGTATATCATGCCCCTAAAAAGCATAAAAGGCCCTCTAAATTCTTTACATTGTTTGTTCTTGTCCAAGTTTTCCTTCTCTCTCTGTGATCATGACACACTGTTGACTTGTGTTTGCATAATAGGACTACATTGCAAGTGTATTCTGTGCGTTTCTTTATCTGAACATGTGAGCAATGCATAGTGGAATAACGTGACAACATATTCATCTACATTTTAGAAACTGTGAATATGTCAAATGTTTTCACATCTGTTACGTTACTTACGAAGAACCAGGTTTTAATCGAGTCAAATCTACTGAGCTAGCTCCACTGAGTCCTCTGTATCCTCTCACTGTATCCACTGTATCCTTTTCACACTGCTCATCCATTTTGTCAAGGTCCTTCCTAAGACAGTTGCTGAACTCCTGCCATACTGAGGCAGTCTCCCAGGACACTGACAGAAATGTTGCAGAGCTCTCTGCAGGCACAACCCTCAGCGAGCAAGGAAAGCAGAGGCTACACTGCCTTTAATACACTAACAATACATTTTCTTTTACAATGCTGTCTCCTTCCTTCTAAATACCAGGTGTAGTGATCCCTGCCAAAAGGATTCATTAGAGATTCTGTAGCAGCTCCTCTGCTGGATGCTGATGTTGATACACTGCAGGTGAAACATAGCAATTCCTCTTCAAAGATGTGCGCTACACTATTATACTAAACAATCCTTATAGTGTCAAACTACACCAAGTATTGATTCAGACTTTAAATCTGTGCCTTTTCCATTATATTTCAACTAAAACGCTGTTTAGCAAAGAATAATTTGTGCATTTATAAGAAATCTTTTGAATATATCAGCGTTGACCAGCAAAACATTGTGGTTCCATTTCTGCATGATTGATTTCCCATTACATATAAATCACTTTTATTTTGAATACAATGATCTTAAAGCAATTTGCTGCTGCAGACTTTCCTCTCTGCAAAGTGTGTGGAAAGTCTGATGGTCCAAAAAGCAGACTGTGTCCTTAAATAAGTAATTACTCATATCATTGATCAGGTATCCTAACAAAAGACTGACTGCATTATCATAAATTGCTAACATGGCCAAGGATTGTACGAGGATTTTCTTTAATCAGTAATTGTTTTTTTGGGCCGTGTGTGTAACTTTAATGCCATGTCCCATTTTAAACACGTTGGAATTAATTCACAAAAAAGCACTCCCTTCTGCTATAGAGGGGCTATTAAAGGTGGGGTATGTAATTTTGGAGAAACCAGCTCGAGTGCGCTAGAATTTGAAAGTACAACAAATCTGCCACTTCCTTCAGACTTCCTTCCAGAGCCCCTCCTCCAACAAACACGAACGCGCACATGACAAATGAGGGCACGAGATAAGTTTGTGATGGAAAGCTGACAGGCAGGTAGGCCATCCAGTTATTTGAGCCGGGCCGGCTTTTTTTTTTTACAGCGCCACGGCTTCCACAGATGACATTTTTGTATTGTCAAAGCATTTAATATATTCATTACTATCGGGTGTTAGCAACTATAATATAGCAAAAAATAATTCTGAAATAAATGACAAACCCCACCTTTAATCAGAGTTTTTTTAGATAACTTTATTTCTAAATGTCTTCTCTCCACTTTCATACCATTCATCGACTAAAGGCCTGTGGAGTGTTTAAGCATATTGAAAGGTTATATTTCTGACCTCTGCAGTAGTTTTTACACTGCAATATTGGTCTGATAACAGATAGAGACTTACAACATTTGATCTGTTCTTGTTGTTTAATATTCAAATGGACCATAGTTTTATTTAAGTGAAATTAGGGTTGAATATCCTTTCACCACACCTTTCTTTTTACACTAGATGTCACCATTTTTGGCTTCTTCCAACTGTTTGTCATATTTATGGTGCTGTTCCAGTTTCTGTCCTGCAGAGGGAACTCTTCTCTTGCACCAAGACATGACAGCTCTCCAAAAATCATTAACATCTGTATGAGTGGTGATATTATTGTTTTTAAATTGATAGCCTTCATGTATAAATTCCCACACGACACTTGTAATGTAATGTACATCACCTCCTTGTGAAGCTTGAGCCAAACGTCAGGGGTTAATGAGCATTACATCTCTGCTCCAAACTCTTAACTTTGCTACCTGATCAATAGAAGGAAAGTGGGATGAATTTCCCTGCTTCTGGATGTTTCTGTGCAATAAGGATATGTTCCTGTGAAGCTGATGTGTGCGCGTGTGAGTAACTACGTACAGACGGAGCAATAGTCTGTCCTCAGTCCAACAGAAAGCTCTGATGCTGCTGCTGCTCCTCCGCATACCGACACACCGGCGCAGCTCCACCACGGGACAGCGAGCACATTGCCAGGTAAGACTCATCTGCAGAGTGTGGGGAAAAGCTTAGGCATGTCATTGTAGGGAATGTAACATGTGCAGATCGGGTTAGCGTGGATCAGGAGTCTGCATGGCTGTCACCTGCGGTAAGGAGCAGATACCCGCATGAAGCGAGGGGCAGTTTGCTGCATTGGGCGTAGTCATATCTGCATTTGGGCTGCAGACGGAGCAGCACCACAGGGCCCACTATCACTGCGGTAGAGGACACACACAAGCCTGATGGAGATGGATGCTGCAGTTTTTTCAGGCATGCTAATGCTGTCTTTGTAGCATTTGGTGTGTTTTGTCTGCTGCAACTTTCTCATTGTCCCATGTTGAACTCTGGCAGGCAGTGAGGTGCTGTGAAGGTTATTGATCTGATCGGACGGACTCTCACCAATCCGCCATGGAGCTGCAGCTGTTAGCCACCGTCTGCATCCTCTTTAGCAGGATTGTGGTAACACATCAAAATACTCACAGTATGTGTCATCCTTTGTTTGTTTATGTTTATTAATGTGGAGGGCACTCAGCTGTTTAAAGTTGGATGTATGACAGGATATGGATGATTCATTTTGAAATGAAAATGGTTGCAAAAAATCTGTAAAAATGTATTTGAGTAAATAAAATACCTGCATTTGTTTTTATATTGTGATTAGGGTGACATACACACATTCAATAATACTGCAGTAAATGTGTCATTACCCATGCTCACCACAGTTAAAAATAAGTTTTACTAAGATGATGTCATCTTAATGTAAATGTGTCACAAACACTGGTTGAATATTGTAATGGGGTGTAATCAGGGCCGTCCCTTGGCATAGGCAGTATAGGCGAATTCTAAGGGTGCATCAATCTATGGGGGGCGCCGGAAAAAGAAAAAAATATATAATATATATATATATAATAAAATATATTTTATTTTATTTCATAACAACACAATTTCCCGATTTTGTGCCCATAAACTATGGCACACACAACCCCCCCCATCCACCCCCCCCCCCCCCTTCACCCCCCCCCCCTCCAAAATCAAGTTGAACTACCCGAGACCCAATAAAAACCAGAGGTTTATGTGAAATAGTTCTTTTTTTGAAATAATGGTTTTAGTGTGCAATTATAGGTTTTCATTTTGTATTTGTGTTAATTTAAAATATATCAAACTCCCAAAAATCGTACACAGCTGTTATTAACTTTGGAATTTACTGTGTAAGCGGCCGCGGGGGGGAGAGCTTTAGAGAGCTCTCTCCTGAAAGACTGAGAGGCTCTGATAACCTCAGCTCAGTGAGGTAAAGGCACACCTTTATATGATCATTATAGTTATAAAAAAATAAGAGTAGTATAAAATACTATATGACAGTAAAAAAAAGTTGTTATTAATAAACAAGAATACAGTTTAAAAGGGGAGTGATTTGTAAAATATCCATAAATAAAAATAAAATCTGCTTACAGTTCTGTTTCATCTGGGTGTTTAGATGTATCCATAGATCTCTTAATGTTGCTCTCAAAGTGCACCAGATTGATGCTGTTAACTTCAATATGCCCCCGGACCCCCCCACACACTTAAATCATGGGACAGGATACTAAATATATTTGCACACATCGTGTCCATATCTTTCTGTTTTGGTGGTCATGCTACAACCGTGCACGTGCATGCATGCGCGAGTCATAGTGAGTGTCTGCATTTTTTGGGTGGGGGGGGGGGGCGCCAGCTAAAATCTTGCCTAGGGCAGCAAATTGGTCAGGGCCGGCCCTGGGTGTAATAAGCAGCTACTGTTGGTCAGGTTATCTCAAATTAGCTCTAACAGTGTCCCTTAGACTTTGTATTTTCTTGACATGATAACATTTTCAATATTAAATAAATAAGTAATGATGACGTACATAATTGAATCAATAAATTGTGTACATTTGTTTGTGACTCAGCATCAAGGTAAAGAGTTAACAGTAGCAGCTAACTTTCAGAATAACATAGTTGTTTTTCTTTCTGATTGAAGCTAGCTCTGTTAGCAGTTGTCGAGATTTTAGCCTAAGAATTAACATAGTAGATTCTAAGCTGTCATTGAAGTCATTGTGCCGTTTTGGATTTATGTTTGGGATCCTTGTACTCCCTGAAAACTCATTTGAAAAAACCCAAAATCAGAATCCGGTTTATTGTCAAGTAGGTTTTCACAAGGAATAAGCTTTGGTGTATCAATGCTTAACATGACAATTAAAAGATACATTTAATTGAAAATAAAGAAACCTCAAACATCAAGAAACATAAATATAAGACACGTTTAAGTATAATGAAAAAAACCTATATAAATATGTCTGGATTACAATGAAAGCTGTGCAGTGTTTAGAATTGGTGTTTTTGTGCAGGAATGTGGAAATTATTACAGTTCTCAGTACTTGTGGGTTATATGTCGCCACTTTTTTTTTTTTTAAGACTGCAAATATGCACTGTTTTTGTTTTTTCAGACTCTCTAAATAACCCTAACCCCGAGGATTAATGTTTGTTATTTTGATAAATGAAAAAGTCCATGACGAGGAGCCAGCTACCTGCTAAAGTGGAGACAGATAACCCACAAGTACCCAGTTCTCTTGCAGTCTACAACAAAATGTTCCATATTATTTTCTGTGTTTTGCTACTTAAAGGTCACCTATTATGCAAAATCCACTTGTTCATGTCTCTTATAAACATGTGTCCCCTCTGTGTAAAGAGACTCTGAAAGTTTCAGGAACAAAGATTCTCTCACTTTTTGTCCTGATCCATTTATATAAAAACCTGTCTGAAAATGAGCTGATCAGATTTTATCCACTTTATGATGTCATAACGTTTTTTTGGCTTGTGTAACCATTAGCCAATCAGCAACCAAGGTAACCCCCCCCCCACCTTATCACCTGAATCTCCTCCTAGAGCACCATTGTGTTCTTTGTAACCAAATATCTCTCAGAGGGGCGTGGGGAGGGGCTCCTTATTTTTCATCTAAAGTAACAGACAGAGAATCAGCACTTTGGAAACAGGGCTGAAACAGAGGGGATTATGGGTAATGCTGCAATGATCGGTTTGGTGTTTCAGCCAACACTTCAGAGACATGTTTTGTATATATCTGAGACCTATAATATATTGATGAAAAACAGTATAATAGGGGACCTAAAAATAACATTGTCCTGTTGCATCTCTTTCAGTGAACTGGTTTTATACGCTTCTGTTCGCTCCTCGTGGGCCTCAGATGTTTCCGTGTCTAACGTACCTGGAGCGAAATGTGCGGGTGGACTGTGAGTTCCCCCCCACCTACCAGGTGCCCGGGCCATACTGCGAGTACCGGCAGGACAGCCGCCTGGTGGGCAGCACGTTCCCCAACGCCGTGGTCTACGTGTCCACAGAGGACCGCCGGAGGAGCAACGTCAGCCTGGTGTACCCCAACCTGTGCCGCCTCACCTGGGCCCCGCTGGCCGATGAGAAGCCCTTCACCTACACATGCAGGGTGTACCAGGGGGATAAGTGGCTGGAGAACAGCATGGCCGTCCATCACAGTGAGTGGAGTTCACTTATTCTAATTCTTTATTAGGATCCCCATTAGCACTAGCATGAGCATTGGCTTTTCTTCCTGGGGTCCTCACACACACAAAACATACATAAAATAAAACTAATTTGGTCATTCTACAGAAAAGGTGGAATCTGGGTGATACACAAATCTGCTGAAATGTATTCCTTCTAAGGCAAGGCAAGTTTATTTATATAGCACTTTTCAACACAAGGCAATTCAAAGTGCTTTACAAAAAATGAAAGAGATTAAGAAAATGGCATTTAAAATCAGTCATTAAAAAGAAAAGCTAATAAAATAAACATTAAAAGAAAAAGTACATGGATAAAAGTTACAGTGCAGTCTAAGATATGAATAGTTCAATTAAAGCAGCGACAAAAAGAAAAGTCTTCAGCCTGGATTTAAAAGTAGTCAGAGTTGCAGCGGACCTGCAGGTTTCTGGGAGTTTGTTCCAGATATTTGGAGCATAATAACTGAACGCTGCTTCTCCATGTTTAGTTCTGACTCTGGGGAGAGAAAGCTGACCAGTCCCTGAAGACCTGAGAGATCTGGATGGTTCATAATTTAGCAGGAGGTCAGAAATGTATTTTGGGCCTAAACCATTCAGTGCTTTATAAACCAGCAGCAGTATTTTGAAATCTATTCTTTGACACACAGGAAGCCAGTGTAAAGACTTCAGAACAGGAGTGATGTGATCCACTTTCTTAGTGTTAGTGAGGACTTCTAAACACATCTAAAAACCTGTTGAATAGCAATAACTAACTCTTAACTTGATTAATCCACAACAAGTAGAGCTTAAAGTATTTGTATTATTTGTATACATTATACAAAGCTTATTTACATAGGAACGTCACTGGTGTTACGTGTTACCAGTAAGAAGAGTAACACCAGTGACAATTTGGAGAAAACACTACCATTTTAACAAAATGGCTGCAATGTGTCAGACCAAATGGCTTCAGTCAATATCAAAATCGTTTAACTCTTCAATACAATACATTTTCCCATTCAAATGTTCACCCCTAGGGCTATGCAATGAATAACACTAATGACAGACTTGAAAGACGCATGTACAATTTGAAGATAAAATGACACCTTTAACAAACAAAGTAAGAAGTATCTGACTTTCCTTATGTCTTTGTGCACTGCACTGCCTCAAATGATCTCTTGTTGCAGGAGGCACTTCAGAGACAGTACATTACTTCAAAATAAAAGCGTTTTGTGTAGCAGTAACACCAATGACGTAATTTTGGGTGACTGACATTTATTGGATATTATTAATAATCATTTGCGTTTTTTGTTACCATTTCAGTGTTATATTTAATGCTTGTAATGTTATGTAAATATGAATGAGATTTATTTATTGAAAAAAAAATATTTTAAATGAAAACTATAGGCTCCACTTCCATGTATGATCAAAGTGACAAGGCAGTTCCTTGAACTTGGCATTTTAAATAAATAGCAATTTATGTATAAAACAATTTTTTTAATTTTTAAATGTATTACCATTGCAAAGACAATCTCTATTTATTAAACATATATAATGAATGTGAGTATTAGATCAACGTCATGTATTTTGGTGTTTGTAAAAGCAAGTGACAGCACTTCCACCTTTTCTGTAGAATGACAAAACAAAAACAAAAACAAAACAAGCTCGCCATTTCATGCAATTTACAATGCTATATGAAATGAAAACTAAAATGGTCATTCAACTCTGGATCTACATTTCATTTAATTTAGCTGAAGATTTTATCCGACTCTATTTACAATAAGTACAATAAACCATGAAGAAAACAAGAAAAATGCAGATATGTTTGCTTCAAATGGGCCAAATTGGGGGGTTTAATGGCCAAAGTACAGGCGAAATAGATGAACTTTCAGTTTGCTACAGAACATCTGTTGACTTTCTGCTATCTTGATATCAATTGGGAGCTCGTTCCACCATTTTGGAGCAAGGATAGGAAACATGCATGTTAACAAAACGCAAGAACACACGCTCTATGGGCTCAGATACTGGCACTATTCTCTCTCAGTCAGGTCATTTCGGATTCACGCATCACAACTCTCAGGAATCAAAGGGGTCCCGCCTCGGACGCTGTTTCCAGTTGTCTTATACATCCGTTTAACCATGTCCTTGATGTATAAGAAGGACCGGATCCCTTCACAGAACGATAGGCCCGTACCAGTGTTTTGAAGCTACTTGCAGCCAGTGAAGGTGGTGTAGCGTGGGTGTAGTGTGGGTATAGTGCAGGGGTGTCCAAACTTTTTTCACAGAGGGCCACATACAAAAAAATATACGAAGGGCTGGGCCGCTCACTAGAGGTATTTTGCCTCATAAATTAGAAAAATCTATCAAATTTAGGTAAATGATGGTTGATATTGATGAAAAAAACACAGCTCTCCGTAGGGTTTCAATTATTGTGTTGGCAGCTCATTCCTTAAAACAGGAGGCTCAGATTGCTTATAATAAGTGGAAATATGAAGGGTAGATTTCAAGGTTGTGATGTAAATGTGTTATTGGGCTTTTTTCTTATATACTAAGATTTGTTAGAAGATGTTCTCAACTTGAATTGACTGAATTTATTATAAAATTGGGCTTATTGATTGTTGTGTTTTTTTCTTCTTAATGTGTGCATATGTGTAAATGTGTCGGTTGATACTGTGTTATATATTTGAACATATATATTTAAGAAGTACAATAGCAGATGTTTAATTTGTTGGCCATATTTCATAATAACTTTTTGAATTAGCTGAGGGCCGATAAAAAATGGGCCGTAGTTTGGACACCCCTGATGTAGTGGGATCTCTGTTCCCAAACATTACATTACATTTAGCTGACGCTTTTATCCAAAGTGACTTACAATAAGTACATTCGACCAGGAAGACACAACCTTGAAGAAAACAGAATCATATAAGTACATCAGGCTTCATAGAGCCAAACATTTCAAGTGCTACTCAACTGGCTTTAGGTAAGCCAGTCCTTTATTAGTATAAAAGTGCTTCGTTAATAGTTCTATCGCTCGAAGTGGAGTCGAAAGAGATGAGTTTTCAGTTTGCGCCGGAAGATGTGCAAGCTATCTGCTGTCCTGATGTCAATGGGGAGCTCATTCCACCATCTTGGAGCCAGGACAGCAAACCCACGTGTTTTTGCTGATGGGAACTTGGGTCCCCCTCGCAGCGAGGGTGCAGCGAGTCGTTTGGCTGATGCAGAGCGGAGTGCACGTGCTGGGGTGTACGGTTTAACCATGTCCTGGATGTACGAAGGGCCAGAACCATTCGCAGCATGGTAAGCAAGTACCAGTGTCTTGAAGTGGATTCTAGCAGTTACCGGAAGCCAGTGAAGGGAGCGGAGGAGCGGAGTGGTGTGGGAACATTTAGGAAGGTTGAAGACCAGACGAGCCGCTGCATTCTGGATGAGCTGCAGAGGTCGGATGGCACATGCAGGTAGACCAGCCAGGAGGGAGTTGCAGTAGTCTAGGCGTGAGATGACGAGAGCCTGGACCAGAACCTGAGTCGCTTTCTGTGTCAGCTGGGGACGTATCCTCCTGATGTTGTAAAGCGTGTATCTGCAGCAACGGGTTGTAGCAGCGATGTTTGCAGTGAAGGACAGGTTGTTATCTAGGGTCACACCCAGATTCCTTGCAGTCTGAGTCGGGGAAACAACTGAGGTGCCGATGTTGATTGTTAGGTCAAACCTCACTTGAAACAATGTCTAATCTAAATGTCTGCTCTGTTTCAGGGATTCTTCCAATCTGCTCTGCGATCAGCGTGATGTTCAAGTCCTCGCCATGGTATTTGTCCCTGCTGATGACACTTCCTGTCGCTCTGGGTCTTCTGAGTCCATGAACTTTCACATGGTAACGCCTCAATGGCCGCTTCCTACATGATTTGTGACTCACTGGTTTTCTGGTTGACTCTATGAAGACTTCTCAATACTCTAATTTCCCCTCCTCGACTCCCCTCCTCGACTCCTATCCTCGACTCCCCTCCTCGACTCCTATCCTTGTGTCTTAGTCCCGCCCACAGGAGATGCGAGCGGAGGAGTCGAGGAGGGGAACCGAGGAGAGAGGAGGGGAAGCAGCAGGCAGTTAGAGAAATGAGAACTCCTCTCCTCTGAGCGGTCATTTTAAAGAGACGTCCATTAATGATGACAGGAGGCACAGCAGCCCTCTGTCTGATGGACAGATGTGTTCATGATGACTTATATATTTACTTTTAATTCATTCACAGTGCGGTATAATGAGACAATAACAGGCTACAGATGCGGACATATACACACACATACATATTTATATGAATATATACAATTTCAAAATCAAACAAGTATGAGAGCACTCTCATAATAATGTAACACAATCAGAGACTGGATATATCCCCCCCCCCCCCTCTCTCTGGTCGCTGAAATGGGCAATTTAAATTATGGGCCAAAAGTTGTATTTACAAGTTTTAAAAGTAAGCATAGGACACCAAACCAACTGAGACCCGTCTGTCCGCCGCATCTATGCACTGTACAACACACACCTACACACTGTACCACACGCACCTACACACTGTACAACACGCACCTACACACTGGACCACACACACCTACACACTGTACAACACACACCTATAGCTCCTAGCTGCGTGCTGAGCTGTCATTGGCTGAGATAAGTCCGGCCGTGCGTCACGCCTCCACCGTTCCCGGAAATGCATCCGTGGAGGACCCATCAGTGTATCCTCGATTATAGCTCCTCCAGAGAGCCTGCTCGATGCTCGGTGCTCGGTCCTCGATTTTTGCATTTTTAGAGAACCGAATTTCTCGCATTTAGAGAAATTAGATATCCTTCAACATGGCGCGCTGAAATCCATTTCCGGGTCACTACCGGAGGACCGAGGAGTCGAGGAGTCGAGGAGGGGAAATTAGAGTATTGAGAAGCCTTCTATGTGAGATGATTTTATTTTAATTATTTAATTTTTTAAACAGAGTAGATGCCATTGAATAAATTAGACTGGATAAAATGAACCTTTCTTTGGGCATTGGGCTAGAAAACGTACCTTTGAGGTGTGAAATATTCTATGTCATAGACCTCATTCTCACCACTGTACCTTGATATTTCACAATGCTATCAAAAGAGGAAATAAATCATGACAGCATCAAATGAAAGACGAACAAATGCAACAGTGTTTGTTTTATTTATTTATTAAAATGACAGATTTAATCCGTTGATCAGGTCTCCCTTGTAAATAAGATTAATCGTGACCTATATATATATATATATATATATATAAACAATCATATGTTAATGGCTGGGTAAATATTAATTTTGTAAGTGTTATGTTGAAGAAAATCAGATGCTTGCTATAGATTTATATAACATGGTAACCCTGTTCTGAACACAAATGGGCTTGATTAAATACACCAAAATAACGTAAATATCTTCCATCAATACACAACATAAATAGAGATTTTGGATTGGATTTATAAAAAGGGACACAATATAAAAGCAAAATCACCTTTTCAGTGCTTGGGCACTCACACTAGGGGCCTTCCAACCCACAAACTGTGCAATCATATTTTTTAAAGACGGCATATCGGTCAGATAGACGGTGTTCAACAAGACATTCAGAATTGTGTCTCCCTCATTTGTGAAGCTGCATAATATTTGTCTCTCAAGCCATTAAAAGCATACTGGCTTGTTTAGGTGACAGGTGCTAAAACGGGTCATTTCAGAGGGTTCACAAGTGTATTAAGATCGTATGAGAGCAATGTGGTTTTTTTAGCTTTAAAGCATGTCACAATGTTTTAGTATAAACCCGAAGTATGAACTTGAAAACCTGCATAGTATGCTCCCTTTAAGTTACAGACTCAACACACCCCCTTAATTTAATTTAGATTACATTACAGTCTCACCAGTTTGCTCAAGTATAGATATTCAAGTGGCTGACATGGCTATTGAGTAATAGTAATGAATAACTGTTTAAACACTGCCTTTCCTGCAAGCAATGCTAATCTGTGATTCCTGCAGTACCAATAGATTTCAATAGATTTGAGGCGTTAGCAAAATGGTTCAAGTTTAGTCTCTTATCTACTTCCAATAAGACACATACTTGATTGGGATGACATGAAAATAGTAATACTCACATGTCAGTGCAGTCAGAGCTTTGATGCTAGTCTGCCCGAAAACACAAAAAGACGTGTGCAGAAGAGGTTTGAGGGTTGATCTCTGCAGCCTTCAGAGGGAGGGACGCTGCAGCTGAATGAGTAGCTGTTTACAAGTAATAACTGATGGACAGACATTGCATAGCGAGTATATGGTGAAATCAAATGTCATGTTTTGCACAGGTTCATTGTTAACCATCACTCTCTTTCTACAAGTACGCACATGCTAATGTATATGTGTAGTACAAAAGAGACAGAACCTTGCACACACACACATTAGGGGCATTTCAAGATCTCTGTGCTGCTTATTTATGTTGTTGACTTATAAAGACAATACTTGTGTCCGCTCTGCACTTCTGTTTTACGTTGTTGTCATCTTTTTTGTAATGCTACACTGCTCAGTTATATTTGCAAAGTAGTTATTGTAATAAAGATGTCTTTATATTTATAATAGGTCAGCTTATTTTGTTTATTTTATTCTGCCTCCAAAGCTGTTCTAAATGCTATAGCAAAACTATAGTAACAAATAAAGGTTATGCAAAGTAAAAGGTTCCTGTGTGTTTTCTCTGCCCGAGACGGTTATTGTGTAGAAGACATGCTTGATGCCAATTCATATTTGTTTTTGCTCAAGACAATTGAAGTATTCTCTAAAAACTACAAATACATCTCTGGATTTAAATGCAGGGTTGGAAGCTCTGATTGTGAATCAAACGTGCCTCACACCTTCCTCTTATACAAGATGTTATTTTGTCTCTCCTGTAGTGTGTTAGAAAGGTTTTTGTGCACTGGTCTGCAAGACTAAAATCCCTGTGTTCCCTCCAGAGGGAGTTTCTCTCCCACCCTGCATGCAACGCCTGACATCGATGTTCAACACTTGCACTTCTATTGGCTAGCGCTCCAACACATTGTACATGACAGGCTAAGGGGCGGGACATCTCTAAGCTGTTGACCAATCACAACGGAGCCGGCCAGCTAATCAATCAGAGCAGACTGGGCTCTGGTTTCAGACAGAGGGTGAAAAGAGGTGCTGCAGCACAGACAGTATGAGAACAATAAAGAGCTTTTTGAACATTAAAGCATGGAGACATGTCCCAGCAGAGACAGACACTACATACTGATATACACCTGAAAATGAGCATTATGGAGCCACTTGGAAGCAAGTTGCTGTATTTGTCAGTGTTTGAGGTGTTTCCACTTTTTGTCCTGCAGATGGAGCTCTTGTTTTGCTGTTCTACCATTTGACAGCTTCCTAAATCACAGGCTATATTCATGGTGTTGAGATCAAACAATTGAGTCCCAAAAACCATCAGGATCCACTAGTCGTTTTGTTCAATGTGCGCTGCAGTTTAAAACCAAGTTTAAATAATATATTAACATTAAAGAAACACGAAAAAAATATAGGAACAAAAAGCACATCACATACTATTGTATCCCCACTCGTACTTGCAAAACCAACAACAACAACAACAACCCCCTTTTTACAAACTGACACACACACACACACACACACACACACACACACACACACACACACACAGAACAAAGTCAATATCTATAGAAGGCCCATTCCTGAAAGACAGTGTGACATTATTCTTGGATACATTTGAGGACAAAGGGAGGATGTCTCTTAAATAAAAGAAGAACTAAAACCTCTGATGTTTTTATCAGAAGACCGGATCTGGTGAGGAACGCTCATTCTTTGGTTAGTTGCAGCCTCAAGCAGCATCACGTGGTACAGCATTTGTACAAAAAAGAAAGTGTCTTCAACCCACATGCCTCCAGAGTATTCATAAAAATATGTAATGTCAGTTTCAAGCACTGTTTTAATCAACTCCAGGCAGTGGTTAATAAATGTCCACGGTTTTATTAATAATTGAACAATAAGGGAACTATGGACTATGGAGAAGCATTGTAGTTCTTTTTTTAATTGTAATAGTTCAACCAACCATCTGAAGTAATAGGACAAAACGGAATTATGGCTTTTTGAGCTGTTCTAAAAACACCATAACCAAAACAGTGTCACTGACTGTAAAGAGATATGAAAGAATAGCAAAAGCAGCTGCTCACAAGTCACTTCCTGCGATAATAAGCGTAGTGCAGATCAGAAAAACCAGTGGAAATGTGCTTTGTATGGGAATTACAATCTCTCCTAAAACAAAGGAACAAATACCGTGCATGGCTTCCTGTTTTCATAAATAACCTTCGACTACACTTTAACACAGTCAGACCCAGATAATAACCTTAATGATAACCCTGAAATAACCCTAATTTTCTGAAATAGATCAGCAGCATTTTGTACTAACTTTTTCTATCTGCTTTTGTAGATTTGACAATACATTCATCAAAAGCTGATTTAGATAATGCGACATCTTTATACGAAACATGTAAGAGTTTCTTAATGCAAGTAATCAACTGGGGAAGTTTATTAGTGATATTATTATTTATTATTCATCGTTTATTTGGCAGGGACAATGCACAGTAAGGAACATTTAAAACATTCAAATGTGTCAAGCGTAACAGTGGAGAAACCCCTGTATTAAAGTGCATATAGAGCATATAGTCTGTTTGTTTCTCAACCATTCTTTGAGTTGACCTTTGAGTGGGACAATCCCGTTGAGCTGCCTTTAATGGAAAGTACATTTAGTCCGCGGTGGACTTCACACTCTCCTCTGGTTTCTGAGCTAGTGCAGCGTCCAGTGTGTTTTTTGTGGATGAATTGGGGGGGGGGGGGGGCAGTCCATGTAAACATTTATAAAAAAAAGCACATACTTTTAAAAGACTTAAAATGGTCAAAGCTCAATAAATTGTGTTTTTCAAGGATGGTACAGTGGTGGTATGAATTTGGCTTATATATCTAAGCATTTATTTATTTTACCCTGTTCACCTGTAGTGTATTGACGTGCACTATACATATCTTTAAAGGC